TCTTCTTGTTGGTGACACTCTGCCTCCCTAGTGCTAGGATTAAAGACATGCCCCACCATGTCTGACTTAAACCTTCCTTCCTTCCTTCCTTCCTTCCTTCCTTCCTTCCTTCCTTCCTTCCTTCCTTCCTTCCTTCCTTCCTTCCTTCCTTCCTTCCTTTCTTTCTTTCTTTCTTTCTTTCTTTCTTTCTTTCCTGTGTAGTTTCGGAGCCTGTCCTGGAACTAGCTCTTGTAGACCAGGCTGGTCTCGAATTCACAGAGATCTGTCAGCCTCAGCCTCCCAAGTGCTGAGATTAAAGGTGTGCACCACCACTGCCTGGCAATTTTTTTTTTTTTTTAATCAAAAAGTATTAACAACATAGTGAACCATATGGACACTTCTGGCTTCTAAAGGGTTAATCGTCCAAAGACTCCTAGAGAAGTAATAATCATTTAAGTCATCATAAGCGTCTATGGGAGGGTGAATATTAGACTATTATAACTACAGATACAGAGTCCAAGTGAGAACCAGTAGGAGAAGCTGGACGGATGCAGGCATGGGGGAGGGATGGGGGTGGGGTCTTACAGAGGAAGATGTGAGGCGGCAAGTAAAGCGCTCCCCCTAGTGAAAAACCAGAGCAAAGGCAGGAGACAGAAGAACCTGAGGGTTTTCAGGGATGTTTGTACCAGGACCTGGTGCAGCCAGTTGTATTGTTTTTCTGCTCTCTGCTGACTAAAACAAGGATGACCAAGCTGGGCACGGCTTCTAGGCTTCTAGGCAGGCTGCGGTAGAAGGCAGGACGGCTGTCAGTGTACTGGAGTTTGAGGCTAGCACGGGAAACATGGAGAACTACATGAAAAGTTTCTACACCCGGATAAGCAAGCCTCTCCGCCGATGTAGCAATCCAAATCAGACCTAATCAAAACGAGTTAGAAAAAGCCCACGTTTAATGGATACAACGCTCCCAGATGGCCTTCCAGCCCCCAGAGAGGAGACGGGAAAGGAGGACCGGAAAATCCACGAGTCTGTTTCTGGGGCACAGTTTAAATACCCCGTGGGAGTAGTCTTGAGCATCTCTGGGGAAGGAGCATCATTTGGCGGGCTTTCTGAGATGCAGCAGGGTTTGGAGAGAGCTAGGGGAGAGGGGCTTGGGTGGAACTTCCGCCATAACATTCCAGACTCTTGGGTATATGGGTGCCAGCGACTGGGGTCATTGTGGCTACAGAGTGAGTTGGAGGCTAACCTGGGATAAATGAAATTCTGTTTTTAAAAAGAGTGACTAGGAGCTGGAGAGATGGCTCAGAGGTTAAGAGCACTGACTTCTCTTCCAGAGGTCCTGAGTTCAATTCCCAACAACCACATGGTGGCTCACAGCCATCCATTATGAGATCTGGTGCCCTCTTCTGGTGTGCAGATACACATGGAAGCAGAATGTTGTATACATAATAAATAAAATCTTAAAAAAAATGACTGATGTCTTATACTACCTTGTAACTCCCTCTCTAGGACATTGTCCTAAGGAAGTGATTACCTAGAGATGGAGGTATAAGGATCATGCTTGGGGCATTATTTACAATGCCTAAGCATTCGTAGAAATATGTCCCCCAGGTATAGAGGGTCACACCAGTTTTCCCAGCACTCAAGGCTGAGACAGGAGCATTGACAGGGATTTGATGCTAGCCCGTGCTTCCTAGTGAGCTTTACTATCAAAAGGCAATGAGCACAATTGGCACATCCGCAATGGAAGATGACCTGTGTAGACACTAAATAAAAGAGGGTTGAAATCATTACCAAGATAGCATTGTGAATGGCACTCGTGGAGTTACCCGGGAAAACAAGTGTCCTTTCCCCCACAGTCTCATAGATAAAAGAATTTTAAAAAAATACAAGCAGGAAACTCAAGAACAATTTTATTAGTTTAAGAGAAAATCTACACCTCAGGCAAGCTAGAGACCTCAGCAGCTGCCAGGTGGAGAGATATGGAGAAGTGTAAAAGATGAGGCCATGTGTGCTGAATTAATTTTTTGCTTTCTTTCCTTCCTTCCTTCCTTCCTTCCTTCCTTCCTTCCTTCCTCCCTCCCTCCCTCCCTCTCTCCTTCCCTCCATCTCTCTCTCCTTCCTTCCTTCCTTCCTTCCTTCCTTCCTTCCCCCTTCTCTCTTTTTCTTTTTTTTTTTTTTCTTTTTTGGTTTTTCAAGACAGGGTTTCTCTATGTTGTAGCAGCCCTATCTGTACTGAATTAGGTCTGTAGAACAGGTTGGCCTCAAACTCACAGAGATCCACCCGCCTCTGCCTCCCAGGTGCTGGGATTAAAAGATGTGTATCACCACCACCTGGCTAATTTTTTGCTTATTTCTTTGTTTGTGTGTGTGTGTGTGTGTGTGTGTGTGTGTGTTGCCTGGCAATGGTGGCGCATGCTTTTAATATCAGTACTTGGGAGGCAGAAGCAGGCAAATCCCTGAATTTGAAGCTACCCTGTTCTATAGAGCGAATTTCAGGACAGCCCAAGCTACACAGAAACACCCTGTCCTGAGTCCCACCCCTATCTCCACACCTTTCTGTGCTCTTCACCTGTGCGTGGTGCTCACAGAGGTCAGGCAAGGGTATTGCAGTCCCCTGGAAATAAAGCCACATGATTTCGGCTGGCCTGGTAAACACTGGGAGCTGAATCTGCAGCCTCTGGAAGGGTAACAAGCGCTCTTAACCACTGAGCCATCTCTCCAGGCCTGTTTCCTAAGTCAGAAAGCAGGCAGCCAGGAGTGTGAGCAGCTGCATGTCAGGAGCATATTTAGAGAGAATGAGAATGTCACAGGGGATTCAGGGTTCCCTGTTGGGAGTTCTTAGTCTCGTTAATACACTAATTTCAAAAGGATGTAAAAGCTGGATGTGCTGGTGCACACTTTTAATTCCAGTATTTGGAGGCAGAGTGTCTCTGAGACCAGGCTGGCCTCAAACTCACAGGGATCTATCTGCCTCTGCCCCCCAAGCGCTGGGACTAAGGGTGTGCACCACCACTGCCAGGGAATGTGCCACTGCCACCTGGTCTTGAAGGCCATTTTTAAAGAAAGATTTACTTTTATTCATGGGTATGTATACTGCACAAACGTGCAGTACCTGTGGAGACCAAAAGATGGCACTGAAACCCCCAGAGTTGGAGTTACAAGCGGTTATGAGCTGCCTGACTTGGAAGCTGGAAATTGAACCCCAGTCCTATGGAAAAGCAGCCAGCACTCTTTTTTTTTTTTTTTTGTTATTCGAGACAGGGTTTCCCTGGCACTCGCTCTGGAGACCAGGCTGGCCTCGAACTCACAGAGATCCTCCTGCCTCTGCCTCTGCTGGGATTAAAGGCGTGCTGTGCCACCAACGCCCGGCGCAGCCAGCACCTTTAACCACCAAGCTGTCTTTCCAGCCCTCTGGGGACTATTTTATTAGAGTTCAAAAGAAAACTACGCATCAGGCGATGCTTACTCCTCCCACGTCCTCAGCATGTCTTCATGGGAATCAGCTCTCTTGTAGAGGCTCTCCTTGGCAGGTGATTGACAGGCCCAGTTGGATTAACTCTTAAGAAGATGGAGATGGTAGGCGGTGTTCTGATCCTCTGGTCAGACTGGAATGTTACCTCTCCAGCCAGGCAGAACTCAGATTTCATTCTTCTGACCAAGAGGAAGTAACTTTTCCTTAACAGCCCTCAACAAAACCTTGATAAGTTCTATCTTTATATGATACTTTACAATTTAGGAGGGCACTTAGGATGCGTCCCCTCCTAGTTTTACCAGGAGGATGGGCGCTGAAGCCCAAAACTGCCATCAAGGGTGTGTGCATAGAGGTTCATCCTGAAGGGCTTTCCAGCTACAAAGGTGGGCAGACCTAAGGAAGGAGGGATTGTGCTAGGAAGCAGGAATTCTGGGACAGAAGAAAAGCACAGGCTGGAACCTCCTGGGAAGAGGGAACCTCAACTGAGAAAATGATTTGCCTGTAGGGAAATCTGTGGACATTTTCTTGGCTGATGATTGTTGGGAGTGGGCCCAGCCCACTGGGGGAAGTGCCTCTCCTGGGCAGGTGGCGCTGAGGTGTACAGTGAAGAGGCGAGAGAGCAAGCCAGTAAGCAGCACTCCTCCATGGTCTCTGCTTCAGTTCCTGCCTCCGTGTTCCTGCTTGGGAGCCTGCCCTGACTTTCCTCAGTGATGGAGTGTGACCTGGAAGTGTCAACAAACCCTTTCCTCCCCAAGTTGCATTTGGCCTTGGTCTTCATCATGGCAATAAAAACCAAACTAGGATGAGACCCTAGTGGGAGACTTAGGTCTCAATTCTGAGGGCCGATGCTGAGCCCCAGAGGAATTGGTAGCCTGAACTTGGCCCAAAGTTCTGACAACAGATGTGGCTACTGTGGAGAACTATAGCACATTAACTTTATTTGAAATTAGGGATTAAAAATTCATTTAGCCTTCCCTTCAAGGGCCCCAGACCCAGCAGACTAGGTATCTGACTCAGAGACCAAGGTCCTTCTGTTTAAGGTGCCCCTCCCTTTTGCAACAGAGATACGGAGCAAAGGGCAAATGAGAGGGAGAAACAGGCGAAAACCACAATATTCTCACTGGGTCACGCTGAAGCCTTTCGAGTTATAGCATCAGTTTTGCTCTCTCTGATCTCTACTCTGTCTTCTCTCCCAGTCTTACTTGAACTTGAAGGAAGGAGAAAGCTTTCTAAATTCAGTTATTAGCGGAAGACCTCTGAAGTTTATTAAACATTTGAAGTTTAATATCATCGGTGTTCTACCCTGCAGAGCTGAGGGTCACTGTGCCCACGGGTTTCCTCACCACGGAGGACAAAAATCCAGATGCCACTTCCTTCTTCATTTACATAGTGCAGATATCAAGTAACAGCTTATTCTCAGGAATGAGTCACCCTCTGTCTGGGCAGATGTTTGTGGGCACACCCGAGGAAACGAAGTCCAGGCACATAGTTGGCAGAAGCTATCGTTACCACATACGCTCCGGAAGAAGGAGTCCAGAGACAGAGCAAGATGAGCTCCGAGACAGGTAAAAGCAGATGCCAGGTCCTGGCAAGGTGCGCAGTTGATTTTTCCTTTTTCCTTTGCTTCTTTCTTTCTTTTTTCTTTTTTCTTTTTTCCTTTGCTTCTTTCTATACAGATTTTTGTCATGTTGCCCCAGGCTGGCCCCCAGCTCCTGGCCTCAAGTGATCCTCCTGCTTTATGTAGCCTCTTGAGTACTTGAGAATACAAGTGTCTGCTCCCAAGCTTAGCTTGGCTCCAGGGTCCTGAACAATGAATCATCTGTACAAGGGTATAACAAACTTATGCTTGGGTCCCTGGGTGCTTTCCAACTTGCCTATTACAATTAATACATCAATGCTGTTCTTAAGATGAACTACTATCCTGGTGAAGTATTTATACCTTTTAATGATTCTGACAAGTAACACTAAATCAATGATGGTTTCATGAAAATAAAAAAAATTAAGTTAGTTGACTCTGGTGATATAGGATTAATTCTAGCTAAGGGCGAGGCTGAGGCAGGAGAATTACTAGTTGATGTCTTTGTGCATTATAGGGGAAGTTCAAGGCCAAGTTGGGTAACTAGGGGAAGTTCAAGGCCAAGTTGGGTAACTTGGCAAGAACCTGCCGGCTCAGCAGTTAAGAATGCTTGCTGTTCTTGTTTGTTTCCCAGTACCCACAGGCAGCTACTCACAACTGCCTGCGACTAGCTCTAAGGGTTCCAGTGTCCTCCTTTGGCCTCCACTGGCACCTGTGTACCTGTGCGCACCTGCGCACGCGCACACACACACACACACACACACACACACACACCCCTTAAAAAGCTTTGTTTGAGCTAAAAAGAAGAGTGAGGCTATAGCTTAGTGATAGAGAGCTTGCCTAGCATATGTGAGGGCTTGAGTTCAATTCCTCAGTCCTGCCCACTCTTCCAACCGGAAAAACTAAAACTGAAACTAATGAAGATAAAAACAGAAGTAGTGGGACATGGTCTGTATGCTAGTTGACTAACGAGATGATGGTTAATTAATGTTAGGTGTGGTTATTCCCCCCTGTGACCTCAGTAGCCTAGAGGCGGAAGCAGGGGCATTACAAGGAATCTGAAGCAAGTTTGGGCAGCATACATAGTAGGTTTCCGATAGCCTAGGCTACAGTATGAGACATCCCCCCAGAACAAGCAAATAGTCTGGGGATGTAGTTCAGCGTGCCAGGAACCCCGGGTCCCATTCCCAGCATCACATACAACAGACATGGTGGCTCATGCCTGTAATCTGAGCTTTGAGAGGTGGTATATGAAGAATTACAGGAGGTATATAAAAAAATTACATGCCTAGCTTTGGAAGGAAATGATTTCAGATGAAGTGGGATTGGAGCCAACTCCTATAATTGTATTTTATTACGGTCTTTGGTAGAGTTCAAATCTTTGGAGATTAAAAAAAAAATGTATTTATCTATTATTTGTTGTTGAGACATGGTCTCGTGTAGGCCAGGCTGGCCTTGAATACACTAAGTAGCAGAAGCTGAACTTGACAATTCTGAAGCAGCTCTTCAGACACATTTGCCTACTATTTAGTTCATGTGGGGCTGGACACAGAAAAGAATGGAAAAAAATGAGGCTACTTGGCCTGCTTATTATAATAGACTCTCAAAAACAAACAACACAAGCCAGGGCAACGGCAAGCCAGGGCAACGGCAAGCCAGGGCAACGGCAAGCCAGGGCAATGGTGGAGATGTCTGGGAAGGAATGAGCATTTTCTTCTGTAGGCTTCAGTCAGGGAGACAGTGGTTCTGATAATTACAAATCAGATACAAAAAGCTGCAAGAAAAAGATTAAAATTGTTGGAAGCAAAAGCACTTTATTGTAGCCAGATTTTTCTTTGGGCCACCAGCTCACACACACACACACAAATGATATGGAGACTTATTATTAATTAGGAAAGCTCAGCCTTAGCTTAGGCTTGTTTCTAGCTAACTCTTATAAGTTAAATTAACCCATATTTTAAATCTATGTTCTTTTATGTGGCTCGGTTACCTTCACCGTGGACTCACCATCCTGCTTCCTCTCTAAGTCTCCTCTGTCCCCAGAAGTCCCACCTAACCTCTTCCTTCCTAGCTATTGGCCATCCAGCTCTTTATTAAACCAGTCACAATGACACATCTTCACACAGTGTAAAGGACTCTTCCACAACACCGGACTCAACAGTTTACACGTGGTGGGAGTGGAGTTCTTCCAAGGACAGTTGTCTGCGGAAGATGGGAACCATGATGGTGCTGCATAGACCCACTGTTATCCTTAAAATCTTGACTCTGGAAAAACTGGAGAATGTACAGGAAGCAGCTCAGGACATAATTCACCAACAAGAAACGTATGAAAAGGAAGAATGGCAAGTAGCCCACTGAGCAGCAACACTGTAGGGGACACCCCACGTTAACTGTTTAATAACCCACTCAGCAGCAACACTGCCCTTAACTGTTAATAATAGAGACTACTCTATATCTGTAGGTCAGAAGTATGTAATCCAATTGAACATTCAAAACATCTGATGAGCATTGACAAAACCTGGGAGCTTTCACATTGCTTTGTTTTAAAAGCAAAACTTTAAGCCAAATTTTATGGGATTCTGAAAAAAGTTTTTGAAGTTATAAATTCTGGTTTGCCATTTCTATTGCTATGGCTGTAAGGACTGCGACACATTGTAGCATTCATGGACGTAGGATCTTCTCTGTGTGTTTATTAGAAACCCAAGTCTGAAAAGAGACTCCAATTATGAAATAAGCATGTTCAGCTTGCACATCACCCCAAAACAAACCTAAAAAAAAATAGACTATGCTTGTAGTAGACATTAGTAAAGTTCGTTTAATCATTATTCAGTATTTTGCATTGCTAAATGACATGTTTTGGGTGCAATGACAGAGTCTGGAATAAGATACGCATAACCTATGGCTCACAACTTTCAATCTGTGCCTCTTGGATCCTTCCTTTGAGAAGTGACTTTCCCAGTAGATTGATTTTTTTTCTTTTTTCTTTTTGTTTTTTTGAGACAGGGTTTCTCTGTGTGGCTTTGGAGCCTATCCTGGCCCTGGCTATGGAGACCAGGCTGGCCTCAAACTCACAGAGATCTGCCTGCCTCTGCTTGTTGAGTGCTGGGATTAAAGGTGTACGTCACCAACGCCCGACAAAAGTGACATACAGTGTTCTGCTTACATGTGTCCCTGCAGGTCAGAAGAGGGGGCCAGATTTCATTACAGGTGGTTTTTGAGCCACCATGTGATTGCTGGGAATTGAACTCAGGACCTCTGGAAGATCAGTCAGTTCTCTTAACCTCTGAGCCATCTCTCCAACCCTTGATTTTTTTTTTCTTGAGGTTGGATTTCAAAGTGTAGCCTAGGCAGACCTTGGGCTCCATATCCCCATGCCACAGCGTCTGGTATTCGGGATAGGAGGTGTGTGCCCCTGCACCGGCTTCCTTTTTCCTGTATGATTTGTAGGTTTGGGAGACTAAAACACATTTTCATAGCAGCTCAATGTGAACTGGGTGTTATCTGACAAAGTCATTTCTTGGTTTGCAGGTCCTGTTATCGTCGACCCTACTCTGAGGTAAGACAGGCATTGTGCCTCCCCACTCAACCACACAGAAACAGACACTTTGGAATTACAGGACTATAGTTTATTTTTTAGAGTTCAAATTTGTTTGTTTTTATTAGATAGCAAAAAAAGGACCTCAGCCACCTGTGAAGGGAACAGCTAATACTGTAAAATGAAAACTACAGAGTTTTTGAAAAATATTTTTGTGAGTTTATTTGCTTATTTTCTTTTTACATACTTTAAAATTAATTAATTCATTTATTTGTTTTCTTTTTGAGACAGGGTTTCACTATGTAGCCCTGGCTGTCCTGGAACTCACTCTGTAGAGAGGTTGGCCTCAAACTCACAGAGATTTGCCTGCCCCTGCCTCCTAAGAGCTGGGATTAAAGGCTTGTGCTACCACTGCCTGGCTCATTCCTTATCATTTTTAAAATAATGTGATATATATATTTGGTTTTTTGAGACAGGGTTTCTCTGTAGCTTTGGAGGCTGTCCTGGACCTCACTTTGGAGCCTGTCCTGGAACTCACTCTGTAGAGAGGTTGGCCTCAAACTCACAGAGATTTGCCTGCCCCTGCCTCCTAAGAGCTGGGATTAAAGGCGTGCACCACCAATGCCCAGCAATGTTTTCTATATTAACATTATTCTGGATATCTGCTTTTACAGGCCACACTCAGGTGTACTGAGCGGGCAGTCCCATGCTCTAATCAGAGGGGTTTTTAGTGGTGCCCCTGAACAGGCACTGAGGAACCAGTCCCCTCCCATCCCCCTCTGCCCCCAGACCAGTGTATTTAAGGAATGAGACATGTCATTGTGCCTCTGACATGCAGAAAATCATGTTTCCTGGTGACACACAGAAGTAAACATGAACATGATTAAACTATTTGTCTTTTCCTTGTTTATCTAATCTGCCATTGCGTGTTTTAAGAATCTGTTTTCTTTTCTTATCTTTTTCTTTTCTTTTTTTTTTTTTTTTTGGATTTTTGAGACAGGGTTTCTCTGTGTAGCTTTGGGGCCTATCCTGACACTCATTCTGGAGACCAGGCTGGCATCAAACTCTCAGAGATCCGCCTGCCTCTGCCTCCCGAGTGCTGGGATTAAAGGCATAGCCACCAACGCCTGGCTTGTTTTAATTATCTGTTTTTCTTCTTTCTCTTTAAGAAAAAGAAAAGCTTGCAACAGTCTAACCAAGCCACATCATTACCTTTAAATTTATTTTGTTTTGCAACTTAGAAACCACCTACATTATGACCCACTTAATAAAACAAACAAATTGGAAATTCCTTGTGTGAAAGGGATTGTGGGTGGTAAAAGTTTAAAAAGCTGGGCTAGGAGCATCTTCCTTGCTTTAGGTTTTCCCGTGTCATCTCCACGTAAGACCCTCACTCTAGTGTGAATGAATGCCCTAGTGCTGATGGTTTACAACCTGTGTGCCTGGTCCCTAGAATCTGTCCATACCCTGTTCATTCTCTGGCAGAGTTCTTATTTATCTATGCACCCATGCATCTGTCTGTCAATCAGTCCCTATCCAGCTATCTATCTATCTATCTATCTATCTATCTATCTATCTATCTATCTATGTATCTCTCTCTATCCATCCATCCATCCATTTATCTGTCCATCCATCCATATCTCTCTCTCTCTCTCTCTCTCTCTATCTATCTATCTGTCTGTCTGTCTGTCTGTCTTTCTATCTCTCTCTCTATCATCCATATATCTGTTCATCCATCCATATCTATCTATCTATCTATCTACCTATCCATTCATCTGTCCATCCATGCATCTGCATCTGTCTGTCCATCCCTCTCTCTCTCTCTCTCTCTCTCTCTCTCTCTCTCTCTCTCTTCATTAAGCTGCCCTAGAAGCCAGAGTGAAATCCAAATGCTTACAGCCAAGGAGAAGCACTGCTTCCTCAGAATAGTTTTCAAGAAGTCCGCTATCTACCACAGGGGGATGCTTTTACATGTTCCTGGTTCCCACAGGCCCCAGGGAACTGTCAAACCTGAATCATCCTTTTTTTTTTTTTTTTTTTTTTCCTTTGGATGTGCTGTTTTCAAGGGAACTCGAGTCTCTGTGCCAAGTCTGTTGTTGCCTGTGTTAGCTCTTAGAGGTCAGGGCTAGCTAGCTTACATCCTGATAATTCTGTGTTTTTCCACCTGTGGTTTTGAGCAAGTGTCGGTTGTTTCGTGTTGAAGATTCTTTCTGAAAACAATCGATCAGTTTGTTGGTCTCTGAAAACTGGATTTTTTTTTTTTTTGGTTTTTTTTTTTTCAAGATAGGGTTTCTTTGTATAGCTTTGGAGCCTGTCCTCGCACTTGCTGGCCTCGAACTCACAGAGATCTGCCTACCTCTGCCTCCCGAGTGCTGGGATTAAAGGCATGCGCCACCAAAGCCCAACTGAAAACTGGATTTTTATAGATCACTTAGAAATGATTCAGCAGACTTTATTTGTTTATTTAGTTTTATTTATTCCATGTGTATGAATGTTCTGCTCACGTTTAGGTCTGTGTATACACCATATGAATGGCAGGTGCTGGATGAGGCCAGAAGAGGGGGTCTTAAAAAACTGTGTATACACCATATGAATGGCAGGTGCTGGATGAGGCCAGAAGAGGGTGTCTTAACCCCAGGGATTTGGCGTTAGAGGAGGTTGTGAGCCTCCATTTGGGTGGGAACTGAAACCTCTGCAAGAGCAGCCTATGCTTTTAACCGCCAAGCCATCTCTCTACCAGCTCCCAGACTTCTGTTGCTATTGTTAAGTGACTTTTTTAGTTCTGCTGACACATCCTGAGGGATCTGAAGTTCCATTCTCACGCTGAGTCCTGACTCCAGCTGGTCTAGATTACAGTGGACGGGTGTGGGCGGCGGAACACGGGGAGGGGACTCCACCACAGTTTTTGTTTTGTTTCGAATTTTCACTCTGTTAGCGATCTCCATCTTTTTGCTTCTTCAGTTTAATCTCTAGGATCACCATGATTTGGTATAGCTGCCAATTCTGTTTAAATTACTGTTACTGTAACAGACCCTCAGACCTTAGCACAGCTGACGCCATGATGGAAATAACATTCAGGCTCTGGAACCCAATTTGTAGGCAGCACCACCTGCCAAAAAGGGAACCAACACCTAATCCATCAAAGTCCATAGCTCTGGGAAAGTCTCTAATGCAGTAACTTTGCTTTTTGGCTTCTGTAGTTCAACTTCTGGCTAACTGCTCTTGCTAACCAAGGAGTGTCAACACAGGATTTGGGTTTTCCTCTTGAAAGCACACCCGGAGAAAGGCTCAGGATTGTGCTTGGATCCCGAATACCCAGTGTAGTGGCTAATACATAGGAATAGAATAGAGATTGAGGTAATCTTCAGCCAGCCTGGAATATGTAAGATTTGGTTTAAAAAAAAATGATGGAAAAGATTTCTTAGATTTCTTAGACTTCATTTTTTTTTTTTTTTTTTGTTGTTGTTGTTGTTTCAGGAGAAGAATTGAACCCCAGGAGTTTGAAGTCTTCTTCGACCCGAGGGAACTTCGGAAAGAGACCTGTCTGCTCTATGAGATCAGGTGGGGCGGAAGGCACAGCATCTGGCGACACACGGGCCAGAACACCACCAAACACGCGGAAATCAACTTCATAGAGAAATTCACTTCAGAGAGATACTTTTGTCCCTCCACCCAATGCTCCATCGTCTGGTTCCTGTCCTGGAGTCCCTGTGCGGACTGCTCCAAGGCCATTACAGAGTTTTTGAGCCGACACCCCAAAGTGACTCTCTTTATTTACATAGCACGGCTTTATTACCACACAGATCAGCGAAACCGGCAAGGACTCAGGGACCTCCACAACAGAGGTGTGACCATCCAGATCATGACTGAGCAAGGTAAGAACAGAATGTCTGTGAGAGATGGTAAGGGGGCAGACACCAGCTGTTGGTGCTGCTGGGATGAAATCTCAGAGGGAAAAGTTCAACATCAATTGTGTGGGGGCAGGCGCGGGGGTCGGGGGCGAGGTCTGACCTTTACAGCAAGGAACTGGTGAACCATAGTAACTCCTCCCTCCACCCTCGGCACGTCTGCCCCCCAGTCACTTTAACTGGACTTCCTTTTGGGGAGTGCGACCACCTTTAGTAGCAAATAGGCAGAGCCTTTATGGAGAGCACACGCTTTGTGGTTGCTGCCACCGGGAACTGAAGCCGAAGCCTTGCACACGATAAGTGTACATGGAAGGCAAGCTCTATACTACTGAGCCATATCCCTGCTCTCTTTAGCTTTTATTCGAGACAGGGTCCTTAAGTTGTTACTCTGGACTTGCCACGTAGCTCAGGCTAGCCTTGAATTTGCAGTTTTCCTGCTCCAGCCTTCTGAACAGCTTGCATTGCAGGCATGAGCCACTGTGCCCAGGTCATTTTAAATAACTTACCATGCTATTTGCTAAATGAACCGAATTGTGTGTTTCTTTAGAGTACTGTTACTGCTGGAGGAATTTTGTCAACTACCCACCTTCAAATGAAGTTTACTGGCCAAGGTACCCCAATGTGTGGATGAGGATGTATGCGCTGGAACTGTACTGCATCGTTCTAGTAAGTGATTTTGGTGTTATGCTTGTTTCTATTTTGAGACAGGCTCTCATATAGTCTAAACTATCCCTGAACTCACTTTGTAGTGGAGGATGACCTTGAATTCCTAATCCCAACCTTCTGAGCACCAGGATTATAGTGTTGTGCTACCAAGAAGTCTGGCTCCCTAATAAGTCCATCTCCTCTTCCTCCTGTTTATTTTATTTATTTATTTATTTATTTATTTATTTATTTATTTATTTTGTGTGTGTGTGTGTGTGTGTATGAGGGAAGACAGGGTTTCTCTGTGCAGCTTTGGAGCCTGTCCTGGAACTGGCTTTGTAGACCAGGCTGGCCTCAAACTCACAAAGATCCGCCTGCCTCTGCCTCCTGAGTGCTGGGATTAGAGGCGTGTATCACTGCCGCTCGACTCTCTTCTTCCTCCTTTAAGGTGTCTCTGTGTCTTTATGAAATGTGCAGGTACCTGCAGAGGATCCCATGGAGCTGGAGTTACAGTGGTTGTGAGCCACCTCTTGTGGCTGGGAACTGAACTCTGGGTCCTCTACAAGAGCAGTTTCTTTGCTGTGGCTGTGATAAAACATCCTGACCCAGAGCTGCTGACAGAAGCCAGGGTTTATGTTGTCTTATTGATCCTGAGGAAGGGAGGCATGGTAGCAGGTACAGAATGCTGACAGATCAGATCTCAGCCCCATGTAGGAGCCAGGAGAGAGCTAACTGGGACTAAGGGAGTGATTATAAACTCTGAAACCCGCCCCAGGTGGTCTAGTTTCCCATAGTGGCGGAGGTCAGTCACACTGTTGAAGAAAAGGTTCCTTGTTTGGATTCTTGGTCCAAATGGCAGCTCAACTGAATCCCAAGAGACACTTTTAAATGTTCACAGCAATAGTGATTAATCATTATTAATCAGCAATAATTAATCATTAACAAGTAATTAATAGTGTTAATTATTACTGAGGATAAACTATCATCTTCTTTGTTTCAGGGACTTCCGCCCTGTTTAAAGATTATAAGAAGACACCAACACCCACTTACATTTTTCACCCTTCATCTTCAAAGTTGCCATTACCAAAGGATACCTCCTCACATCCTTTGGGCTACAGGGTTGGTATGACCTCTAGGAGCTGGAGATGAATAAAATGACTCCTTGTGTGTACTGTTTGGACAATAAGCAATGGTGACCTACTAAAAGTGACTACCATGAAGAAAGTATCAAACTGGGGCTGTCACTCCTGGGTAGATTACTAGTTATAGTTGTGAAGCTCTGGGTTCAATGCCCAGAACTTCCAGGAAAACAACCAGTTATGGTTATACACTCCTATAGTCCCAGCACTTGGGAGGCAGAGGCACTGGATCTCTGGGAGTTCAAGGCCAGCCTCGTCTACATAGTAAGATCCAGGCCAACCTAGGATACACAGTGAAACCTCATCTAAAAACAGACAAACAAACCCCAAAATCAAGAATCTAGAAATTGAAGACTCAGGTTAGATGGTACATTCCTGTAACCCCAGTAACTGAGTGGTAGGGGCAGGAGAATGACTAGTTTAAAGTCATCTTGAGCTACACGGTAGGTTTGAAGTCAGCCTCAATGAATGTGAGATTCAGTGAGCTAAATCTTTCGAGTTATGCCAGCAGCCGATACCTCACCAGCTTGCATAAAACAGTCACTCTGTTCAGCTCAGTTATTTGCTTGCCTGCCCCTCCAAAGACTGTCATGGTGTACAGCAGTCCCTGGGCACTGAGAGAGGCTGAACCTTACTAACTTCTTACAAATTCTATTTATGCATTTACATTTTAAAAACTACATTTATTGATTATTATCATTGTGTGTGTGGAGGTGGTTGTGTGCGCATGCTATGGCACTCCTGTGGAGGTCAGAGAACAACGTTTAGCATTCTCTCTCTCCCACTATCCATTCTGAGGAATGAATGAAGATTGCCAGTTCAAAAAAAGTAATTTATCATTATTATTTCTACTCCAGAGCTGTCTCAATAGCTCTATAGCAATACATTAGAACTGCAGTGAAAGATGCCACTTATCAATTGTTACTGTGTTTGTTTGGTTCCCAGCACCCACTGGAGTTTGTCAGAAAGATGAGGAAAGGATGCTTGTCGACGTGGGGGCCAGGGTTCCCACCTCATTAGAGCCAAACTCAGCATTTTCTTGCTTTGTTTTGTTTCTATTTTGAGACAGGGTCTCAAAAAGCTTCCAACTCACTATGTAGTCATGGATGACCTTGAACTCCTGCGCCTCAATGTTTTTGTCTTTCATCCACCTACCTGTCCATCTGGGATCCAGAACTCAGCCGTGGTCTCCTCTCTCCGGTCTGCTCTGTCTTAGGTTCTGTTCCTTTCCCTTCTGGCTGCTTCTTGTCACAGACAGGCTTTGAGCACATTTTCTTGACTTGAGTCATGCTCTTCTATCTTGAAAGACATCACAACCATGTATCATCACTTGTTCTTATAAAAAGGTTTGCATTAGGCACGGCAGCGTGCCCTCTGATCTCTGTACTCAAGGGGTTGAGACGGGAGGACTATGAGTCGGAGGCCAGTCATTGGGCTACCTATTGAGACTCTGCCACAAACAAACAACCTATCAAACAAAAGAGGGAGCAGGGAGATTGCTTAGTGGGCAAATGACATCGCCCAACAAGCACAGGCAGAAAGTCAGGCGAAGTTCTGTGCATCCAGGATCAATGGAACCAAGGACTGTGTGCTGAAATCTCCGAATCCATGAGCTGAAATAAATCCTCCTTCTTTAAATTGTTCCTATCAGACACTCTGTCACAGTGAAGAGAATAGTGACATGGTGAGAAACAAAGACATTTCAACAGGGGAGGGATGAAGTTACTTCCCAGACGCTCTTTCTCAGGAAGCATTTGGAGGGTTTACTACACTAACTCAAAGAAGGGGAAATTACTGGAAGCCGGGACACAATTCAGACAGAAGGGAAAAACAAAATCTCCAGCATGACAGTGAAAGAGCAATACTGGGATAATAATGTACATGCAGAAAATCACCACGGAGAGCTCCTGTGAGATTAGAGAGATGCTCTGGGTGCATCTCAGAAGGTGTTTTGGAAGATTCAACAAGGCATGAAGACTGCTTAGCCCTATCCCGTGGGCTGAGGGTCTGGATGGAACCGAAGGAGAAAGCCAGCAAGGGAGGGCATCGTCCCTCTGTTCTCCAGCTCCCTGGTGTGAGCTGCTGGGCTCTATCACACCCTCCCCACCACAACCAGGAGCCAAGGTGAACCTCTCCTCAATTCAAGTTGGCCTCAGGTATTTGGTCACAGTGATGAAGATGGAGGTTTCTGTCTCTTCAGGTCCCACAGTTGCTTCAGCCCCAAATAAACACACATGCTATATTAATTATAAAACTGTTGGCTGATGACTAGGGCTTCTTACTGGCTAGCTCTCTCTTAATTATTAGCCCATAACTACTAATCTATGTACTTCTACATGGCCTTGTCTTACCAGAGAACACCTGGTTCATCCTATCTTTCCAGTCTCTACATGACATCTCTCTCGTCCCCTCTCTCCTTCTCTTTCCTCTCGTAGCCGCACCTATACTTCTTGCCTGGCCAATCAGTGTTTCATTCATCAACCAATAAGAGAAACATATATACAGAATGACATCCCCATCATAGTGATAATAAAGGAATCATTCAGTTCAGAGCAAGAAAATGAAGTGATGCAGAAAGAATGTGTTTTTTTTTTTTTTCAAAAAAGAAATTAAGCTGGGCCTGAGTCACAGTCTAGTAATACCAGTAACTATATAGGCTAAGGTAAGCGGACCTCAGGTTCAAGCCTTGCTTGCCCTGCAGACTGAGTTCAAAGCCATCCTGGGCAACTTAGTAAGACCCTGTCTAAAAACAAAAAGTAACTAAAGGTCTCAGGATGGAGGCTTATGGTCAAGCACTTGTCTAGACTTTAAATTTAATGATTTCCTACATCTTTGCCAATGTTAAGCATAACCTATATTTTTTGATTGTTTTTTTTTTTTTTTTTTTTTTTTTTTTTTTTGAGACAGGATCTCTTTATGTAGTTCTGGCTGTCCTGGAACTCACTCTGTAGATTGGGCTGGCCTCAGACTCACAGAGATTAGCCTGCCTCTGCCTTCCAAGTGCTGGGAGACCCTGCCTCAAAGAAAGAAAGAAAGAAAGAAAGAAAGAAAGAAAGAAAGAAAGAACTCTATTTTGTTTATTTGGCTATGCGCAGATGTGCAGGCATGGGGACAGAGGATGATGTCAGGGGTCTCGCTTTGTCATGGTCTGCCTTATTCTCTGGAGATAGAAGTACATAGATTAGTAGTTATGGGCTAATAATTAAGAGAGAGCTAGCCAGTAAGAAGCCCTAGTCATCAGGGCTTCTTAGCTCACTGAACCTGGAGCTAAGCTGGTGACCAGCAAGCCCCAGTAGTCCTCCTGCCTTCCAGCAGTGCAAGGGTTACAGGCACGTGTGCAGCCATGCTCGGTTTTTTCTCTTTCCTTTCCACTGAGCTGAGTCTTCAGGGCCACACACTGTAATTATTGTAGTCTCCCTCATCCTTCCTTTCTTTTTCTGAGTTTTTGAGACAGGGTTTCTCTGTGTAGCCCTGATTGTCCTGGAGCTCACTCTGTTGACCAGGCTGGCCTCAAACTCACAGAGATCTGTCTGTCTCTGCCTCCTGAGTGCTGGGATTAAAGGCAAGTGCCATTGCCACCCAGCTAATTGACATTTTGTAGTCTTTAATTTACCCCCTTAAGTAGCATTTTCTTTTTTTTTCTTTCTTTCTACTCACCACTCCCCAGGCAGGGTAGGGCCCTCAATGGGGCTCTGCATTGTTCTCCAAATCTTCCTGTACTGGGACTGGGCCCAAGTAGCATTTTCAAGTAGCTCAGCACTTCCTGGGTTCATGTATAGAAAAGTGCTTGGTTAGAGTTAGCTTGATAAACTATAGAATAATTTTTCAGAGTTACTAGGGTTCTATTAGAATATCCCCTGAGATGATAGGGATTGTCCTAGGGTCCTGCTCAGGCAAGTGTTCCACCATCTAGCTACACCACAAATCCATACTAGAATTTTCAAAATGTCACTAAGGAAATCAAGAAAGAAAGAAAATAAATAACTCTTGGGGATTATGTTAGTCACTGTTCTATTGCTGTGAAGAGACACATGCTAAAGGCATTTGTGTGTGTGTGTGTGTGTGTGTGCATTTTCAAGACAGAATTTCTTTGTTATAGCCTTGGCTGTCCTAGAACTAGTTCTGTAGACCAGGTTGGTCATGAACTCACAGAGATTTGCCTGCCTCTGCCTCTGCCTCTGCCTCCCAAGTGCTGGGATCAAAGTTGTGTACCACCCTATGCCCAACCCAACCAAAGCAATTCTTATAAAAGAAAGCATTTAATTGAGGGCTTGCTTACAGTTTCAAAAGCTTAGTTCATTATCATAGTTGGGAGCATGGTGGCATGCAGGCAGGCACTGAGGTGTAGCTGAGAGCTACACATCTTGATCCAAAGGTGTTTCGGGATATATGATAACAGAGTGAACCCTGAGTTTGCATTTGCATTAATTAAATATAATCAACCGTGGATCAGGAGGAGGAGCCAGCAACTCATTGACAGAAAGTAATCATAGCGAATTAGAGAGAGTCTGGGAGATGGATAGAGAGACACACAGGAAGTAGTAAGGAGGGACTTTGAATGGGGCAGCAGAGCTGAAGGACTCTCTTTCAGAGATGTCAATGAAGAGGGAAGGTCAGCTAGTTGCTCCTCAACCTCTCTGAGCTAGCAGGTTTTCACCCCAGCCTCTGACTCCTGAGTCTTTTCTTTTTCTTTTCTTTTTTTTTTTGTTTTTTGGTTTTTCGAGACAGGGTTTTTCTGTGTGGCTTTGGAGCCTATCCTGGCACTCGCTCTGGAGACCAGGCTGGCCTCGAACTCACAGAGGTCCGCCTGCCTCTGCCTCCCGAGTGCTGGGATTAAAGGCCTGCGCCACCAACGCCCGGCAATGGCTCAGCTGTTAAAGGTTAGACTCACACCAAAATAAAAGATGGCCTTGGTGAAGTTACCCACAGTGGCGGTGAATCAACAGTAGCTAATCAGCAGCTTTTGGGGCACAGGAGAACAGAGGATTCC